TTCGGCAATACAGGACAGGGCAGGTCACCATCGAACGTTTGATAAAGATAGTGATCACAATGGTGGATGAAAAAGAGGACAAAGAAAAGGAAGAAGCCTGCTTTGAAGGCCTCAGGGCACCAGTCACAGCCAGCTCTTTGCTCGATTCCAACATCATTGACAAAGCGTTATTTGATCAGCTCCAGCAGGGTAAAAAGACCCCCAAGGAGGTCTGTCAAGATGCAAAGTTCAGGAAGTACCTGCAGGGCACTGACCGCATTGACGGCGTCACCATGCGAGACTCAAATGAAAAGTTCAGCATATACCAAGCGATGAAAAACAACATCCTGCAGCATAAAACTGGACTTGCACTCCTGGAGGCTCAGGCCGGAACCGGCTTTATCACCGATCCTGTCAAAAACGAGAAATACTCTGTAGACGATGCCGTGAAGGTGGGAGTCGTCGGCCCCGAGCTGCACGAGAAGCTCCTGATGGCCGAGAAAGCAGTGACGGGATACAAAGACCCATACACGGGAGGCAGGATTTCTCTGTTCCAGGCCATGAAGAAGGAGCTGGTGCTTAGGGAGCATGCCATTCCTCTCCTGGAAGCCCAGTTTGCGACGGGAGGCATCATCGATCCCGTCAGCAGCCACCGCGTTCCCAACGACGTGGCCATTCAGCGGGGATTCCTAAGCAAACAGATGTCCAAATCCTTCAACGAGCCCTCTGGTGATGTCAAAGGTTTCACCGACCCCAACACCAACGAGGGGGCTACCTACAAACAGCTGCTGGGGAGCTGCAGCAGAGATCCCAACACCGGGCTCTGCTACCTGCCTCTGTCCAAGGTCGAAGCTCCTGCTGAGATATCGTATGAGTTCACAGAGGAGCAAGCCCAAAAAGATCTGTCCAACACTCAGATTGAGGTCCCGCACAAGAGCTTTGCAGGCAAGAGCATGAGCATCTGGGAGATCATGAACTCCAACATGCTTCCAGAGGAGGAGAGGCGCCGCCTCATGGAGCAGTATCGCTTAGGGCAAATCTCAAAGGACCGAATGCTGATCATCATCATTGAAATAATTGAACATAGGGAGAGCCTTAAGTCAGAGCAGAGTATGTCCTGCGACGTCATCAGGAGAAGAGTCACTATTGAGGAGCTGTACAGTGCTCGAATCCTTGACCTGCACACATACAACCTCCTCAAACAGGAGAAGATGAACATCCGCGAGGTGATGGAAATGCCATCGGTCAAGCAGTTCCTCTTCGGCACAGGCTGCATTGCTGGAATCATGTCGGACAGTCCTCCAAAGATCAGCATATACCAGGCTATGAAGAACGGGAAGATAAAGCCTGAGGTGGCTTTGACGCTCCTGGAGGCCCAGGCAGCAACCGGATTTATGATCGATCCAGTCAAAGACGAGCTCCTGACTGTCGATGAAGCTGTTCGCAAGGGTCTGGTGGGCCCCGAGCTCCACGACAAGCTTCTTTCTGCCGAACGAGCCGTCACAGGATACAAGGACCCCTACAGCGGGAAGGTGATCTCTCTCTTCCAGGCGATGAAAAAGGGCCTGATTCCTGAGGACTACGCTTTGAGGCTTCTGGAGGCCCAGAATGCCACAGGAGGCCTGATGGACCCCGAATACTACTTCCACCTGCCCACAGATGTCGCCATGCAGCGCGGGTACATCAACAAGGAGACCCTCGATAGAATAACTGAGCCCACCGCAGATGTGCGTGGTTACACCGATCCGACCACCGATGACAGCCAGTCCTACGCCCAGCTGCTGAAGAGATGCAGGGTGGACAAAGAGAGCGGCCTCCGGTTGCTTTCGCTGGCAGACCGAAGACTTCTCTTCAAGGGCCTCAGAAAACAAATCACGGTGGACGAGCTGCTTCGGTCTCAGATCATCGACCAAAAGACCTATAACGACCTCACCGAGGGGATCTTGTCTGTGGAGGAGGTCAGCAGGAGCGTGAAAAAGTACCTCGAGGGCACCAGCTGCATCGCCGGTGTGTATGTGGAATCCAGCAAAGACCGCCTGTCGATTTACCAAGCGATGAAAAGGAACATGATAAGACCAGGCACTGCGTTCGAGCTGCTGGAGGCTCAAGCCGCCACGGGTTACGTCATCGACCCCATAAAGAACCTGAAGCTGAACGTCTCAGAAGCGGTGAAAATGAGCGTCGTCGGCCCGGAGTTTAAAGACAAACTGCTCTCAGCTGAGCGAGCCGTGACAGGCTACAGAGACCCTTATTCGGGCAAGGTCATCTCTCTTTTCCAGGCCATGAAAAAGGGGCTCATTCTGAAAGACCATGGAATACGTCTGCTGGAGGCCCAGATCGCCACCGGTGGCATAATTGACCCAGAGGGGAGCCACCGACTCCCAGTGGAGACGGCCTATGAACGCGGGCTCTTCGACCAGGAGATGAACGAGATCCTCACAGATCCTTCGGACGACACAAAGGGCTTCTTCGACCCCAACACAGAGGAGAACCTTACATACCTGCAGCTGATGGAGAGGTGCATGATGGACCCGGAGACCGGCCTGCGTCTGCTGCTGCTCAAGGAGAAGAAGCGCGAGAGGAAGACTTCCTCCAAGTCTTCAGTCCGCAAGCGGAGGGTTGTCATCGTCGACCCGGAGTCCGGCAAGGAGATGTCGGTGTACGAGGCCTACCAGAAAGGGCTGATCGACCACCAAACCTACCTGGAGCTCGCAGAGCAGGAGTGCGAGTGGGAAGAGATCACAATTACCTCATCAGATGGGGTCGTGAAGTCCATGATCATCGACAGGAGGTCTGGACGGCAGTACGATATCGATGACGCAATCTCAAAGGGCCTAATCGACAAGTCGGCCCTGGATCAGTACCGAGCCGGGACCCTGTCCATCACCGAGTTTGCAGACATGCTGTCCGGGAACATGAGCGGGAGCAGATCCCGGTCCTCCTCCTTCGGCTCCTCCTCCTCCTACCCAAGTCCAATACCGGCCATAAAGACCCCACCAACCACATGGAACGACCCAACAGAGGAGACGGGCCCTGTGGCCGGAATCCTAGACACCGAGACCCTGGAGAAGGTGTCAGTCACGGAGGCCATCCACAGAAACCTGGTGGACAACATAACTGGGCAGAGGCTGCTGGAGGCCCAGGCCTGCACGGGCGGCATCATCGACCCCAACACTGGAGAGAAGTTCTCCATCAACGACGCCATGAACAAAGGGCTGGTGGACAAAATTATGGTGGATCGCATCAGCCTGTCCCAGAAGGCGTACAACGGATTTGAGGATCCGAGAACCAAAACCAAAATGTCGGCGGCCCAGGCCCTGAAGAAGGGCTGGCTCTACTACGAGGCCGGCCAGCGGTTCCTGGAGGTCCAGTATCTCACCGGCGGCCTCATCGACCCAGAGTCCACCGGCAGGGTCTCCATAGATGAGGCTGTGAAGAAGGGCACCCTTGATGCACGCACAGCTCAGAAGCTGCGAGACGTCAGCGCCTATTCCAAGTACCTCACGTGCCCTAAAACCAAGCTCAAGATCTCCTACAAGGACGCCATGGAAAGGAGCATGATAGAGGAGGGAACCGGCCTGAGACTCCTGGAGGCCTCCTCCCAGTCCACCAAAGGCCTTTACAGCCCCTACAGCATCAGCGGGTCCGGCTCGGCCACCGGATCGCGGTCCGGATCCAGGACGGGTTCCAGATCAGGCTCCAGGAGGGGCAGCTTCGACGCCACGGGGTCGGCGAGCTTCACCACCACCTTCTCCTCCTCGTCCTCCTACGGCTCGCCGAGCTACAGCCGGCGGTACTGAGCTTTAAAACCCACAGCGCTCACCAGATGCCTACTCCTGTGGAACGAAGCCGCCTTTATTCTGCTCTGCATGGAGTCGTTACAAAACAAAACTTTTAATATTTAATTTTCTACAAAACGAGTCGCCTTGTTTGTTGTATGTTTTGCATTAATTCACGCCGCCTGGTCGGATCCCTGATACTCTCCAGCATCCTTCTGTCTTTAGATTAACGTTCGACATTACAAGCATTTACTGACCTCAAACGCAGCATAATAGAGCACACAGCCACTCACAAACACAGCCGGATTGGATGTATAAATCTAAAACTAATGTGTATATTTCTGAATGTGGGGGGAACGTAGCCACTCTGCAGAGCAGAATATGGAATCTAGCAAAGATGAATCACATTAATAAGAATGCCAAGCTTGGAGATGCCCTCTCTCCTGGACCGCACTGCCACTTATACTCTCCAAACACATGAATGCACTTCGTCTAGCCTGCAGTTTGAAGCACCAAAAAGTTTTTAAAAAGAAGCAGATTCTGGATGTAAAAGGACAGTTTCCAACACGCAAATCCCTGCTCTTCTGGACAGCTTGACAGGTAAACAGCGCTGGGTGTTTTGAAGGGTTTCCTGAGTAGTTTAAGGTCCTGTGTGGTGATTTTCTCTGTTTGTCGCCTGCAGCCTCCTGCCTGGATTTCCCACTGAGCCCCTCGGCATTGAACCCATCACAGGGCTGAAAACGGCGGCTCCTCGGCTGCTTTTTCAGACTCTGGTAGCAGTGGACTGTTTAAAGGAGAAGGAGAGCTACGACTGTCTGATTGCTACCCATATTATCCAGGTTACTGTCCTAAAAAGATGGCCTTTCTCATTCTAGCTACAGGTATCAGAAGATCTCTGCCACACGGGACTGGAATATATTATTTTTCCCATAAAATGTAACGTCGTGTTCTTTTCCTTCAGACTTAACAGGCATTGAAATATAGAGCTCCTCTACAAGCCATGATTGGACATTTCATTGCATCCAGTATTTGTGTGCCACTCGTTTTAAACTTCCTTTGTAAAGCGACACGTTCGAGCTGCATTATTTTCGTACTCTATTTTTCTGCTTTGCATGATTTAAAAATGGAAAAACTTATATAGCTGTACCCACTAAAGGTTTTGGTATGTTCCAAGAGGTTTGAAGGATGATGGATCCTAGTTTAAACTGGTGTATTTATAGCGAAAAGGGTGATGAGGAATTTTATTGTAACCCCTTACACTATGTAAATAAACACAAATTAAAAGCTTCCTCCTGTCTTTACTGTATTTCTGATAAACTTAACATTCAGAGCATTCAAATGCTATCAGATTTGCACAGCAGAACATATTTTTTCAGATTGTTTGTTTCCTCAACAGAAAAGAGTTTGTGGATTAATGTTCTCAGAAGCTCACTCGGCCGAAATTTGGAGAGAAAAACACAAGAAAACTGGGTTTGAAATCCTGAGATGAAAATAGATAAACACTGACACACAAAACTAACATAAGACTCAAAGATGCACAAAACCACTTCTGAAGAGACATAAAATGACCAATAGCAGGCAAAATTTGACTAGAAAACACACAATGTACACAAAAATACACAAATGAAGGTAAAATACATTAATCAGACACAACTACCAGAAAGATTTATAAATGTAGAAAATCACAAACCATCACAAAGGTGCCACAAAGACACACAAAGCAAAAATGAAGAGAAAGAAAGTGACTACAAAAAAAGTACACCAATTCAGGGCAGATGCTGCGTTCAGAGACCGTGGGACGCATCAACTAAAACCTGCCTACAGATGGATCGATCAGTCAGTTTTTTATCTATCATTATTTATTCATTAGTCTTCAGTCATCTCTATTTCTAAGGCACCTGTGGCACATTTTTTAAACACATCAAACTTTATTTATCCCCTAAATTGTGTTTCTGTTTTAGTTTGAAATGTTTCGAAAGGAGTCAGAAGCAGAAAATTCTGCTGACTTCTTCCTGTAGTCTCTTAATCAAAATGTTGAAGCTGTTTTCTTTCCTTGTTTTCTTTTTCTTTTTTTTAACACATGGTGCGCCATTGTCCTTCAGAGGTATCTAATGATTGTTAAGTCCATCTGTTAACCCGTGTTAAATGAGGTATGATCCACCTTCTCTGGAGCTGGACCAGATGGAGGGTTTGCAGACTTACGGCTTAAACTCCTTTTCAAACTTCTTCCACTACAGAGTCTCATCCATCTTATTTAAGGCCCTTTGAGCTATTGTCCGAGCAGCTTTTTGTGCTTTAGGACCATCTGAGGCTAAAACAAAACCGTACAACCTTGAACGCATCCTGGGCCTGAGCAGACTGAGGTGGAAGAAGCCTTTGTCCTTTTTGCCGCCTGAAACTAAAAAGAATGGAGTGCAAATCTAGATAAAAAGTTCTCTGGAAATCAGTTGGAGAGATCGAAGGAAAACCAGCTCCACCGATTTGACCTGGGCTGAGAAAAAGCCGGGGGGACCTTCAACTTTGGGGCCCCTCTCTTCGGTTCAGGGGCACCTGGTGTTGCAGGGGTCTCCTGATGAGAAGAAGTCGTAGACGCTGACCAGGGGGAACATGGTCACTGCCCCCAGCAGGGAGCCCAGCTGCACCACCGCCCCGCACCACACGAGGGCGCTGTGGCCCTCGTCGCGCAGTATCACCCCGATGATGACCTTCACGTAGGACAGCGACAGGATGAAGACAATCCAGGCCAGCACCTGTGGATCGGAGGCTGTCAGAGCTCAGATTCCACCAGCAAAGCCGGAGCGGTCAGAGGTCTCTCACCATGATGGCGCCGCCGGAGGCCTCATTCACCAGCATGGGGCAGGGACTGAGCACGGCCATGGCCATGATGTAGGCCCCCACGGCACTGCCCATCACTGTGAGGGCTCCCATGAACACCAGGGACCTTGGGGGTGGGGGCTTTGTTTAAATTAAGACTTCATCTGGAAAGGTTGTCCATTTCTTTTTCTTATCTTTTTTTAAAGGTACATTGTGTAGTATTGTATGTATTTTATTATGATTCTCTTCATTTATAAATGTGTCCTCATTTGGTGTAAAATGACCTCTGCAATGATCTGACTTCTCCCCGTAAGGAGGAATTTCCTATCTGTATGTACACAGGAGGGTATGTCCATGGAGATTTCCATGGCGATCCTTCCTTACATCTCTAGATTCCTAGATCTCTAGATACCTACAACTCTAGATCTCTACATCCCTACTTCTCTACATCTTTACATCTCTACATCCCTACAACTCTAGATCTCTGAATTCTTTACATCTCTTGACCTAAATATCTGTACATCCCTAGATCCCTACAACTCTAGATCTCTGAATTCCTTATATCTCTATATCTCTACATTTCTATATCTCTAACATCTCTAGATCTCTAGATGTCTACATCCCTACATCTCTAGGCCGACAGACCGACCAATCTCTAGATAGCCAGCGACATATTTAAGGGACTACTGAGCAGCTGGAGAGTTAATAAACCTTTAAAAACAGGAAAAATCTTCAATTTTCTTCACTTGAGCCTAATTTAAAGGCTTTTACCCCAGAGATTCAGCAGTTTTCTCACTACAATGAAGGCAGAGTCGTTTCTGAACTGGAATCAAGAAGCTTTGACCATCGACCCTCGTTCGGCCGAACTGACCTGATGGGGATGAACATGGCGATGAAGCAGGCCAGCGGATTGGACACGGCGGCCAGCGTTGCCGACAGGTGGTAGGCGCTGTTTCCATACGGCAGGCAGGAGTAGGACTGCACGGAGGGCAGCACCGTGTTGGTCAGCGCGTTCACCCAGGCCAGGACCCCGAAGATGTACAACACCTGTGTTAGAGATTTGTTGTTATTATCTCATAAAATCTGGCATGCCTCAGTTTGTTACAACATGGAATGTCTCAGGTCATGAACTTCTCACTTTTGTTAAATATATATAATATCACTTTTATATTTTGGAATGTTTTGGGTCACGCACTCCCTGTGACCCCGAGACTCGCTGATTTAACTTCGCAATATGCAGAAGAACCTCTACCTACGATCGCCTAAACATACAAATTTTCCAACATCCAAAATGAATTTCGGTCAAATTTCGGGTGACTCGACACCCAAAGTAAATTTCCAACATGACGTAACCACCTGCATCCAGCTGTAGGAGCCGGAGCCGAAGCTGCTTCTGGGCCTTGGGTTCTCGGGCCGGTAGGGGTCCATCATGGGCCTCTGCTCCGCCCACCTCCTCCTCCCCCCGCCATCCTCCTTCACCCCGTTGGTGTACCGGCCGTTGGGGAGCTCCCGGGCCACCGCCGGGTGGTAGTTGAGCAGCAGGAACGCCAGCAGGCACACCAGCATCATGGCGCTGAGGAAGAAGAAGAACACCTCGACCGAGAAGTTGGCCGGCTGGTACTGGGCCTGCAGCAGGAGGGTCCCGTCTCCCAAGGAGGCGTTCGGGGCGCCATCGGGCGGTTGAGTGGCGTTGGCGCAATGGAGCACGCCGACCCCCTGGACCAGGGCCACCAGGGCGGGCAGCAGGCCGCTCACGCCCTCCCCGACGAAGTAGGTGGTCAGATACTGAGGCGGGAAGCGCATCATGAAGGGCAGGAAGGTGACGGAGGAGGTGCAGTCCACGGCGGCCAGGAAGAAGGTCAGCACGAAGAGGGCCACGCTGCGCGGGACCCCCCCCACCGGGACCGCCTCCTTCCAGAAGAAGCCCAGCAGGAAGCTGGCCACCGCCCCCAGCCCGATGATCAGGTAGATGACGGCGGCCTCGTTGAGCGCGGACGGCCGGAAGCGGTGGGTGAGGGTGACCAGGAGGGGCCCAACGTTGGCCATCTGGATGAGCGCGGACAGGTAGGAGGGCAGGAACCAGCCCTCGGGGACCTGGGGCACCATGAGGGGCAGCTCCACCCACAGGCCGTTGATGGACACCCAGGAGCCCACGCCGAACAGGCAGGCCAGCAGGTGGGTGAGCAGGGACATGCTGGGGCGCACACAGACACACAACGCACTGAGCAGGGACAGACACACAACGCACTGAGAAGCAACACGGAAAGACAATGCATTTGGCAGTAACAAAATGCACTGAGCAAGGACACAAAGCACAGAGCAGCAACACAAAGTACAGAGAATCAACACGTACACACAACGCACTGAGCAAGGACACAACACACTGAGCAGCAAAACA